AAAATGAGATATGCACGGAGACAAAAGATGGAGAACAGAATAATACACGCGCATCCACCGTTCACAAGACAAGAAGGCGGGGTTCCTGCATAGGGGGACTACCGAGGAAACTAATGGAAGAGTTCCGGAATAAGTTCTTTCACGCAGGAACAACATGCAGACTCATTCCCATTTGAGAGAGAGAGAGAGACATCGAGACACTTCATCATTCATAGATAGAGGGGAGAGAGGGAGATAGAAGGGGACAAGATCCAAAAAAGAGGAAGTTCGGTGTTGCCGCCGCACACTCACACCAGAGATAAAGATCCGCAACAACAAAGGCGCATTCGCCGTGAATTCCAATATGGCCCCAGGCCAATCACTCACTCAACTCCAATCATCGATCCTCACACCCGCACCGACGATCCCTGCCTCCGCGTGCTAACTCCCACCACTGCGATTGTCACCCCGCTGATGTAAACTCGACGCGGTTCGCCCAGATCCCATAGTCCGTCGTGGCGATCAAGCGCACAACCGGCCAGCCTATCGTCATCCCGACAGGACTTTCTGACTAGCCACTGCTTCCCGGAAGTTGGCTTGAGAGTCGAGAATGTAAGGAGATTTGTGGGTGCGCTTGCGGAATTTATAGCAGCGAGGAGGGAGCCAAGGGAGGGAGAACGCAGGGTGAAAGTCGAAGTGTAAGAGGAGAAGCAGGAGAAGAAGACTTTGAGAGGAGCGCTTCGCGGAAACCATGTTGATGCTTCGAAACTCAAGATTAACCAATCAGACTCGTCGTGCGATAGGCAGATCCTACCGTACCCTGCGTCTAATTGGTGGGCGAGAGTAATCGAAGGATCGACCGGACTTCACGAGCTTTGCTCGGAGAGAAGAAAAGGCGCGAGAAGTAGCGCAAGATGGGTCCAAGATTCAGATGATCAAGAAAGGGGAAATGGGCGCGCAAAGAACTGAGCGGGAGAGAGAAAGGGAGGGAGAAAAACAGTAACGAGGAGAGAGGAGGAGGAGGGGGAAGGAAAAAGGAGCGCAAAAGAGAGCGATGCGGGGGACAGAGAGGAGGAAGCTTTTGCATGCGTGGCGCCGTGAACAAAAAAAACAAAAGAAAAAGGCACCGGAACAGTTACAGCTCGCCTACGTCCTAAACCAATTCAAAATTGAAATCACCATATCCACGCGCGAAAGAGCAACACGGGAAAAGAAAGTCCTACGCCTATTCGTATCCTTGCAAAATTCCGACAGTTTTCCTCGACGCCACCGAGAATATTCATGCACAAAAAGGATACGTCGAAGTTCCACTTATCTCGGAAATCCCAACTGCCAGACCCAATTCCCAATGTGCTTGCTAAGGCGCACGTAAATTCCCAAGTATTTCCCGAATCGCAAAAGGAAAAGCCGAACCCGGGAATCGGAAAAGCTCCCGAAAGAAGGGGGCCAAAAACGCGGCACCCGAAATCAAAAAAACGAAACGGGGGTTTTTATGGGGTTGATATGATACAAAAAGGAGAGGTACGAAAGATAGCACGGGTTCGGGAAGTAGTTTGTCACATATGTGACGCGCAGGGGGTTCCAAAATTATGCGATCTCCTGATTGCATGTTATGGCGGAGGAGGAGAGAGGGAGAGAGAGAACAGAGTGATGCATGAGGAACCGAGCGTATCAACAAACGGTCCAGCCAGAGTCCATGTTGACGCCATCTTCAATTGCAATCTTTTCACGGTTCTGATGGTTCGTGTTGCTGGAATCATCGATGGTCGTCTAGGTGACGCCATCATTGTCCGCCTGTTCTTCGTGTGCTCCGCACCCAGTTATCGCTGCCCGTCGAATCAGAGCATAGGTTGACGTCATCGTCGATGGCATGATCTTCGCGAAGCTCACTGATCCGTGCCGTTTTCCCCTGCTGATTAAATGGAGAGAGGGGGGGGGGGAATAGTCACGTGATCGGGAGCTACCGTCTAGTTGGGATGGGCCAGTGGAGGCGGTACATGGAGGGGATCCCATGGGGATGACGGGGACGAAGTGGGGGTAGGTAGCGATTCATCCCCTCTACCGTCACCGGAAGCTCCTCATATCGGATGATCCGGTGGAAGCGAGGAAAGTGATCGCCGCTGTGAGGGAGGGAAGCGAGGTAGTCGCGATAGAAGGAGGAGAGGGTGCGGAGGAGCGCCGCTCGAAAGAGTTCGTAGTGGCGACAGGCGGGGATTGTCCCCGTAGCTACGCAGTAGACTTCTACCACGTTGCATTGCTCCCACGCAGCGCTGAACAACAGGATATGCCAGCAGAAGGTGGGGGCAGCCGGTTGAAGGGATGGGTGGGGATAGACGGTTGCGAGTAGGCGGGTCGAGTAGAAGTCGCGGAAGAGGTGGGTAAGGAAGGGATCGGGGGGGAAGGTGACGGGGGTGCGGATCTGTTCGAGGGTGAGAAAATCAAGGGGGCGGCGGGTTAACATCCGAGGACGAAGGCCTATCGCCCTCATTGGTACGTGGGCGAAATGGGGGACGGGTGGGGCTGGAGGAGGAAGGGGATCGACTCCGTCTCCGTCGTGCGATGCTTCAGGTGGCGGCTGCTGGGTCGCCATCTTCGGGCTTCGGCGGCTCCGGATCCCTGGTCGAATCGTTACCGATGCGCAAGCTGGCTCCACTGGCGAACTCCAGCTGACGTTTCCCAGTGGCAATTTCTTCGCGCCTTCGCACTGCTTCCGGATCTTCCGCCTCCGTGCCCGTGCGCGCTGCTTCCTCCGGCAAGGCTTCCCACTCAGATCTGGTTTCTTCTTCCTCCTCTTCTTTTTCTTCACTCAGCTCGCCCTCGCTGTACTCACTATAGCTTCCCTCCTCCGACGTTTCCTCGTCGTCGTTTTCTTCGTTGTCGTCGATCACGACTTCTTCCGCCTTCGGATAGAAGGCGTGAGGGATGATGTCGTAAGGCTTCAGATACTCCTGCCGTGATGGTAGAGTATCTTCGTCCCTGGGCTCTTCCAAGCAGGCAGTCCACTGAAGGTACGGATCCAATGATCGCTCGAGAACGTACGGAGCAGGGTTGTCGTCACTTTGTGAATAGATGTCCGGCGAGAGGTCGTCCGCCAATTGCACGATCGGCGCGATGAGCTCCTGCGCAATCAACTGGCGGCGGTTTGTTCGTACCGATCCAAATAGAAAGCCGAGAAGATCGCCTTCGATGTTAGTCCTCCAAGCTTGGATGATCAATAACTCCAAATTTTCGATCGACGCGGAATGCTCGCTGGTCTGCGTCCACGTCACCTGTGCTTGAGCCAAGCAGAAGGACAACTCGTTAAAAGTTTCGCGCCACAGTCGCCAATGTGCAGGGTTAATAAGTGGGATAGAGAGAGGTTCGAATGAGAAGGAAAGAGAAGGATGAAGATCGGATTGCCAGAAGGTGGAGAAAAGAGAGGGGAGACCGAAGATGGAGAGAGGGGCGAGGGGATCGGCGTGGTTCATTGGGGACGTGGGAAGGGGATGAGGGTGGGGATCACGACTGGCGGCTCGCGCAGAGAACGACGGATGTCGTCAAGATCCGGTGCAAAGGTCGGGAGGAGGTTGTACCCTGGTCGGGCGAGACCGTGCAGCCACACGTTGGAGACCTGCTCCGTCCACTTTCGCAGCGAAGCCAAGATTGCGGTATGCCACCGTGGGTTGACCGAGCTGATATCGCCGTTGAACGCCGCAACCGTGGTGACGTGGCTCGTTATGGGAGCCACTCGCTGATGAACTGCGATCACCTCTGCCAATACCACTGACGTGGACTCCCTTCGATTTGGAATGCGGCGGCGGCACACGCACCCACGTCGAAGAAGAACTGCGCCAATCGCTGAAGATCCGTATTGAGCCGTGAATGACGAACTTGCCGAATTTCCGAGATATGGCCACATGGTTGCAACAGTTGTTCGTCAAGAGCCCGCGAGGGAGAGGGAGGAAGATGAGAGGGAGGGAGAAGATGAAGGTAGGAGGTATGCCGGACGATGGGGACAAAGCTATGGTTGGCACTGGTCTCAGGCGCGATGCGCACTGTGTTGGCGCCGTTAGGACCGAGCTCGACAACGCGAAAGCAGCAAGAGAACTTGGGAGCGAGTTTGCGGTCGTGTGCACATTTACGTACCTGCACTAGGTCCCCTAATTTATATTGATGTTGGGGCCCAGCATTTCCATTCCGAGCCTCATAGCTACGGACCTGCCTACCGTGGGCCAGATCGGTCATCCTTTGTCTTTTTCGGGCTAGCTTCGAAATGGCCCGCTCCATCAAATCGGTGTACCTTTTGGCCTTGGCCTTGAGGGTTGTACGCGTGTCTCTACCCCCTGGTTCGGCAATTTCCGAGTTACCCCGGTAGTCGACACAGGGGAGGCTATTAGTACGAAGCTGAAAAGGGGTAGACCCCGTGGATTCCTTAGGGGTGACCCGGTGGATCCCAACGATCTTATATACGATCTCGGGCCACAGACGCGTGTCGTGTGCCACTAAATTCCTGCGAAGGGCGGTTTCAATCATACGGTTCGCGTTCTCAGCCAATCCGTTCGACTGGGACACGTGCGGTGCCGTATGTCGGAGCGTGACGCCCCTTCGTGCGAGTAGTTCCTCTACTTCTCCCTTAAATTTGGACCCATTGTCGGTTAGAATTTCTTCCGTATCAGATGAGTAAAGAGGAACCGATCGATGTATGTCGCTATTTCTGCGGCCTTGCGGGTCCTACAGGGATAGACCTCGATGTACTTGGAAAAATGGTCAATTAATACTAAAAGGATAGAATGTTCACAGCGGTTTGGGCCAGGTGGCACGTCGATATCTGTTGTGTCCATACTGACTCGTTGGAAGGGACGCTCTACTTTCGTTGGTACTATCGTGTTTGGTCCCCGTATTGGGGCGCGATCAGCGGCACAGACTAGACTGTTGGCGACAATGTATCTGACATCATCTTGTATGTTGGACCAGGACCATCGGTTCTGGTCTGTAGTTGCCTCCGTGACACGTATCGCGAAATGAGCGGCCTGTTCTTCGTGAGCAGATCGGATCCAATCATATCTTAAGAATGGATGGGGAACCGTCAACCACGAACCCGATCCGTCAGTTTTACACTTCTCCAAATAACCGTTGATCCACACGCCCAAACCCACGACCAACCCACGACGAACCCACGCCATACCCACGCCAAACCCACGCCAAACCCATGCTAAACCCATGCTAAACCCACGCCCAAACCCACGACCAACCCACGACCAACCCACGCCCAAACTCATGCCAAACCCACGCCAGACCCACGCCAAACCCACGCCAAACCAACGCCAAACCCACGCCAAACCCAAGCCCACTAGTATCCAAAACCCACGCTAAATCCATGCCAAACCCACGCCATACCCACGCCAATCCCACACCAAACCCACGCCAAACCCACGCCAAACCCATGCCCAACCCACGCCAAACCCACGCCAAGCCCATGCCAAACCAACGCCAAACCCACGCCAAACCAACGCCCAACCCACGCCCACAAACCCATGCCAAACCCACACTAAACCCACACCAAACCCACGCCGAACCCACG